AACCAAGGCAGGAAGCACGGGGCACGTCCCAGGAGGAAAGGGTCAGTTCACCTGGACCAGAGCCCAGGGCGCATGTGATTCAGAGAGGCTGGGAAGGTACACTGAGGCCATGTGGTGGAGAAAGCCTTGAGGCTGACGGGTGGTGTGTGGCCTGTTGACCATGGGGATTCACAAAGGTTTCCAGCCCCCTCACCGGAAGGGGCCTGTCCCCCAAACGGGGCTGATTTGGGGGGAGGAGAGGAGGAAAAGTGAGGCATGTGGGCTGTGAGGCAGAGAGGCCCAGGAAGCAACTGGACGGGCCTCGGCGCTGATGACCACAGGGAAGCCCTGAGAATGGAACTGGCAGCCACAGGAGGAGGGGGCTCATCTCAAAATCCTGTATGTCCTGGAGGCCCCACCAGGGGCACAAACAGAACAAAACACAGGCCAAGCTGGAGCCAGGAGGCAGGTGTCAGCCCAGGCAGTCCTCTAGGATGGAGATCCTTATCACCATATAAGGAATAAAACCAGGGAAAGGAGGAAGGGGGAAAAAAAGATTGGAACAGGCTTAAAGAAAAAAAGAAAAAAGAACCTAAAGATAGCCTAAACAAAACACGCCCGCCGGCCCGGCCTGCCTCACTGTCTGCCGGCCATATGGTGTGCGATAAGCCAGCGCGCTTTTATTTATCTTCCTCCACTGTCTATTAAACCCTCTGACAGCCTCCACTTGAGGCGAAGGCTGCGCCGAGCTCTCGGGCTGTGACAACCAGCTCCCAGTCCTCGCTCCCGGAGGCCGCCAGGCGGTGATCCTCCCCCCAGCCTTGCTGCCTGTCTCGGCCCCACAAGTGCCCTGGCCTCCACAGCTGTTTCCCCACATCTGGAGGAACGACAGGCCAGGCCAGCTGGGCCACACCGCAGACAGCCAGCCAGCTCATTAGCGCTCACCCTCACTGGCTTACTTGGCCATGACCAGGGTCCTCTGCTAGGACCCAGACAATACTAGTAGAAACACACACACACACACACACACACACACACACTCACACACACACCTCTCCTTGTGGCGATAAGTTATCAGACACCTTGAGTGCTGCTTAACAAGGATGCTGCCTCGAACCATCAACGCCTCGGGGCTCATGCCTTTCTGATGTAGCCACCCACCCCCATCTCCCTGCATGAAAAAATGGTCAAGCAATAAACTATATCCGCATTTCGCCAGGTCCAAGTTCACTGCTGTTCCCTACTGTGACCCAGACAATCACAGGAAGGTCTACGCCAGCTCTGCACTCCTGAGCCCTAGCCTCAGCCTCCACGCTCTAGGACCACCTCTCACTCTCTCCCCTCCTCAGCCACGTTTGCACTGAACGGAGAAGTGTCACGTGTGGAGTGGGAGGCGATGGATAGGGTGCGCCTTCCAACAGGACGCCCAGTTAAATCTGAATTCAGATAAACAACAGATACATTTTATTAAAATTTAGCTTTCTTTCATTTTATTTCTCAATTACAGTTTACATTCAGTATTGTTTTGTATGAGTTCCAAGGGTATGGTTAGAGACAATCCTATACTTTGCAAAGTGTTCCCCCTGGTATTGCCAGTACCCACCTTGTACTCTACACAGTCGTTACGATATTAGTAGTGACTTGATTGCCTGTGTTGTACTTGGCATCCTCGTAACTATTTCAACAAATAAATTTTAAGAGGTGTATCACATGCACTATTTGGGATATACTTATACTAAAAAAATTATTTGTTGTTTATCTGAAACGCAGCTTTAACCAGAAACCCTATAGTCTTATTTGCTAAATCTGGCTGCCCTGGATGTCAGGGAGTGGCAGGAGGAAGGCCTCTGGCCGCCCTGCTCTTCCTCAGGGAACCCTGGGAGGCTGCCTCTGGCCTGCATCTCAGGGTCGCTGTTCCCCGAGGGCACTCTGCAAAGGCCTTGTAAGCTCTGTGCGACCCTATCTCTCAGGCAAAGCAAGAAGCCCCAGAGCCCTGAAGGACAGCATGGGAGGGAAACCCAGCAGGAGGAAGTCCCAGGGAAGATGCCCCGCCTCCAGGAAGATGTCCCGCCTCCAGAAAGATGCCCCACCTCCAGGAAGATGCCCCGCCTCCAGGAAGTACAGAGAGACCAAGCACAAGTACCTAAGACCAGGCCATGTTAGAATGTGAGCCTGTGCTGAGCAGCCTCGAACCACCAAGCCAAAGTAAAGTAATACCTAGAGGGGTAGGTGGCTGGTTGGCTTAACAGGAGCATGAACTGTTTTATTTGTTTATTTTTATAAGAGAAAACTTATTTAGAAAGTCACGGAGGTAGGAGTGAGCGGGGGAAGAAATGGGCTCAGCAAACAAGTTACAGAGGCAAAAGAAAGGGCCCTTAGAGCTTAGGAGAGAGAAGGGTATAGGTAACATGCCTTGGGGGAGGGGACGGATCCAGGGGGTGAAAGGCAAGGGTGTGCTCTGGGAGTGCCCAGTGCCGAGGAATGACCAGCCACTGACCCACAGGCAGAGGCAGAGAGCACAGGAGGTGGAAGGACCCCTGAGACCCAGACCATGTGGTAAGTGAAATGAATGTGGGCTTTGGAGTCTCACAGAGCCACTTGGTGTCCAATCAGATGAATACATTGACCGCTCTGTGTCTCAGTTTCAGCGTCTCTAAAATGGGCACGTTTACTTACCTTGAAAGGCGGTTGCAAGAATGAAACATTACATGATGAGTACACTTAAAGGACCTTGCATGGAGCCTGAACGCAGCAGGTGCTAAGCTTTATTATCATTTGATTGAGCTATATGTAATTGCCAATATTCTAACAGTCTTCTTGACTTACAAAAATGGCAACTTCATGTAGTGTAACCTAATATTATGAGCCAGTGGCTTTCTGACAACAGCAAAAATAGTCCACAGATTAAGGGTGAAGTGTCATTCTATTATTGCATTTGCCCAACCAAATGATAACGCTTACCTTCAGCTGCTGGGTCATCCATCCTGAGGGCTTTTAAGGGCGGGATGAACTGTTTTATAAATGGCTTTCACCCGGTCCTTAGGGCAGTGGGTCTGGGCAGGTCCCAGCACGAGTCCTGGCAGGAGACGTAACCCAGCCCCAATGAAAGGCCTCTCAGGGGCATGGACTCATGGGCTCTGGGCCCAGCCAAGTGCCATGGATGTGTGCCCCATTTCTCTATATACAACCCAGAAACATCTAGAAGCAGCTGTTATTCTCCCGCTCTGGCACTTAGGGCAATAATAGAATGACACTTCATCCCTAATCTGTGGACTATTTTTGCGATCGTCAGAAAGTCACTGGCTCATAATATTAGGTTAAACTACATGAAATTGCCATTTTTGTAAGTTAAGACTGTTAGAATATTGGCGATTACATATAGCCCAAACCAAATGATAAGAATGCTTACTTAGCATCTGCTGTGTTCAGGCTCAATGCAAGGTTCTGTAAGTATATTCATCATGTAATGTTTAATTCTTACAACCACCTTTCAAGGTAAGTATTACTGTGCCCATTTTATTTACTTATTTAAATATATTTTTATTGATATCATAGAGGAAGGGAGAAGGAGAGAGAGAAACATCAATGATGAGAAATCATTGATCGGCTACCTCCTGCATGCCCCCCACTGGGGATTGAGCCCGCAACCCGGGGAATGTGCCTTTGACCGGAATGGAACCCAGGACCCTTTAGTCTGCAGGCTGATGCTCTGTCCACTGAGCCAAACCAGCTAGGGCTACTGTGCCCATTTTAGAGTTGCAGAAACTGAGACACAGAGAAGTCAATGTATTCATCTGACTGGACACCAACTGGGTCTGTGAGACTCCAAAGCCCACATTCATTTCACCTCCCATGTGGCCTGGATCACAGGGGTCCTCCCACCTCCTGTGCTCTCTGCCTGTGGGTCAGTGGCTGGTCATTCCTCAGCACTGGGCACAGCCAAGATACCCACCCTGCCATCGCCTGCCTACGCAGGGCCCACTCTGTAGCTAATCAAAGGCTGGCCTCCTGAATTAGCAGCAAAGTGTATTTAACAAACAATTTCAAGAGGAGAAAAGCATTTGAGCATTCCAGGACCCTTTAGTCTGCAGGCTGATGCTCTGTCCACTGAGCCAAACCAGCTAGGGCTACTGTGCCCATTTTAGAGTTGCAGAAACTGAGACACAGAGCCCACATTCATTTCATCTCCCATGTGGCCTGGGTCACAGGGGTCCTCCCACCTCCTGTGCTCTCTGCCTATGGGTCAGTGGCTGGTCATTCCTCAGCACTGGGCACAATCAAGATTCCCACCCTGCCATCGCCTGCCTACGCAGGGCCCACTCTGTAGCTAATCAAAGGCTGGCCTCCTGAATTAGCAGCAAAGTGTATTTAACAAACAATTTCAAGAGGAGAAAAGCATTTGAGCATTTATTTAGAGTGAGAGGGGAAAGAAGCCAAAAAGAATGCACTCCTAAAATAAACAGAAAGTAATCCGAGGAGAAAAACCTAGTCCAAGGGAGAAAAATCTAGTCCAACCAGTTTTAAAACGCCTCACCCATGACTCTGAGCTAACACGTAGTGGACCACTGAGCGGGCATCAGGTGCGGTGCGATCCAGCATCACTGCAGACCCAGAAGCATGTGCTTCTGTGACTCTCCTCTGAGAAGATTACTGAGCCTCCTCGAGGGGAGAGGAAGAGAAACCTCCCAAAAGAACAAGTCAAAGACCGAGAGGGTGACTGCTCTCCTGGCCCACCCACCAGAACGCCCCTCGGGGACCGAGACCAGCACGATAATATAAATAAAGGGCTGTCAGACTCAAACTTTAAAACAAGAAGAAAGGAATGTTCCCCTGCTCGTGAAGATGCTGGACGTCAGAGCACACGCAATGCAGACTCAAACTTTAAAACAAGAAGAAAGGAATGTTCTGCTCGTGAAGATGCTGGACGTCAGAGCACACGCAATGCACAACGAACGCAGCTCCCAGAGCCCCACGTGCACATGTGCAGACCTCAAAGTCGGAGGATGCAAAGCAGGACTGACCTTCACATGCGCCACGTAGTGATGACACGTCTCCTCCATGTGCGCCAGATGCAGCTTCTCCGAGACCTGGCCCACGGTCTCTCCCAGAAGCACAAAGTAGACCCGGGGCAGCTGGCTCTTTTCCTTTTTCGCCACATCCGCCGTCAGAACGTAATTCAGGCCTGCCGAGACATAAGGTCGCAATGTCAGGGAGGACAGACACACAGGGTCCAGCCAGCTCCACTCCTCCTCACAGGATCACGAGGGCATCTCAGACACCTAACCCTCCGCTGCACAGGGGCCTGTTGCCTGGGCCTACACCTCCTCGGCGAGAAGCATACAGCCAGGTGCTGGCAGAATCCAGAGACGACCAGGGGCCCCGGCCTTCCTGCTGAGCCTCTGTGCATCACACTCCGTGGCTCCCCCCCCGATTTAAACCTCATGAACTATCAACTGAGCCACCAAGACCCGCGTCAACAATCCGCTGTGCTCAACGCGATCAGCGTCCTGCCAAGCGGACACCCCGTCGAACCCACAGAATAGCACTAGGAGCTGCTCAAAAGATCAGGCTGCCTGTAGGAGTGACTTCTACAAAGCAATGGGATCTATGCCCAACACAAGGGAGGAATTAGCCACTCATTTCCGACTCACATCGCAGACGTGAGGTTGTGCTCTATAATCACTCCGTCCACTGGGTTGTGCACCACTGGGTACAGTCCGTGTGCCAGGCACTGTGCGGGTGCAGGGGACACATTGGTGAACCACACAGACCAATCCCCCTGTCCTCACAGAACTGACACTCACGGAAACTCACACACAGTCTGAAGCTTTCTTCCCAGGCAGCCACATGTGGTAATCACACACTGTCGAGTGCCTACCATTTTAACAAAACCATGACCACCGTGGGGCATGTATGAGATGCCCTCCTGCAGAGCAAAACTCATCACTTACCCCTCTGTGTGTAATGCCAGCTGGCAGAGCCTGCTATGACACAATCTGGGACTTTAAAAAAAAAAAAAGGTCACAATAAAGAATGCACATTGGATGAACCCAAAAGGTTCCGCCTCTGTTATTTCAATCTGTTAGAAAATATAGGACAATGTGTTTTAGTAGGTAAATACGGCATTAGTATCAACAGGCCTATTTCCTGCTCATCTGTACCAAAGAACCCCGTTACAGAGGTCAGCCCCTTTGTACCACTTCATTTTTAGCTGCTTTGTGGGATATGACATTTGTAAAGTGAGAGAAAAGGAACTTTCTGTCCGTAAGCGACCATATGAGACTGCTGAGCAATGGGAAGGCAGACGACCCAGCCCCTGCCCCGGCCCCACCCCCCAGCCTCTTGGAAGCTGGGCTCTGGCATCCTCACGCACTGATGTTTGGGAGGCCAGGCACCCGGATGGCTCCAGCTTTGAATCCCATCACAGGGCTCAGCCACCAGGGAAGGCATGGAGCAGGAGAGAGAGAGTGACCTGGGCTGGCACTCTGCAGCCGCCACCGGGCATGTTTTTGATGCATTTAATGGCTTCCCTGGGCCTCTGCCATCTCAGGCGTCCTGCCAGGCCAAGCTGGCGGATTCCTGGGCAGCGAGGGCCAGTCTGCCCCAACTTGTTTCTTGCAGCAAACAGCTGATGTCCACGGCAAGTCTGGTCCCCAGGAGCGACCTGGGACCTAGATCATCCCGGGAGACGCTATTAAGAGGAAAAGAATGCCTGTGGGAAAGTACTTCAGCAGAGAACACCCAGGAGCCTGTGCAAGAGCGACACCCCGACTCCCTTGCCGACAACAGCGGAAAATGGGGTGCATGCGTAGGACGTCAAGCGTTCAGGGCAATCCTAGGGACCACCTAGTCCAAACCCTCATTTTTCAGATGAGGAGTTGAGGCCTCAAAAGCGAACAAGACTTGCTCCAGGCCAGAGAGCCATGCACCTCAGGGCGGGATCTAGACCTCCCTAGTCTGCCATGCGGGCTACTCCTACCCGGGTCCTTGGTGCATTTCTTATATGGCTGACAAAAAACACACCTTGCATTTTTGAGTGCGCAGCCAAACAAGCGCAAGGATCTAGAACTGAACTCCGGCCAATTTCCTTTTTACTGGTCACCACTGCTCTGAGCAACAGCCACACAGTAAGAAAGGACCAGTGTAAGTGAAGTGAGCGTCCTAGTTCTGTTTAGCAAGATCGGAGCTAGAGGTGGGTGTCGTCGATGGAAGAGGAGCCGGAGGCCTTGGCAAACCACCACTGTGGTGGTGGCAGCTGCCAACCGGGGCCTCTGGGCAGCCCCCTCCCTGGCCTTCCTCCCAGGTGACAGTGCTGTGGTGACCCTCCCTCGGGAAGGGTGACCAAGCAGAGAACACAGGTTTGACCCATCTTGCTGGCAGCGAGCTGGCTGAGCTCGGAGAAAACCTGGGCGGAAATGAACGTAGGAAAACAGAGCAGATCATAGCAGGGCCCCACCCACATCCTCTTGGCTTTTCCCGCTTCTCTGCTGTCCAGCCTGCCTTGCCCCTGCCAGCACCTGCACCCCTTTTCCCAAGGGCTTTCTGGAGGCTCTGCCCAGGTGCAGGACAGGCCAGGGGCACCCCAGGGCTCCAGTGCCCAGAGCAGCCCTCAGGAAGGCATGACCCAGCTCCCTCGTCCCTTGGGAGGGGTACTCTAAGGGGCGCTCCACCCTCCCTCCCAGGGTCCCCCGCAGAATTCACCTCCAGCCCACGGTGGTGACATGCTCAGCCACACACCTTCTGTGTGGCAGCTGTGATGATGGCTTGTGTGTCCCACTCGACTGGGCCACGTACCCAGATACTTGGTCAAAGACCAATCGGGACGCCACCGCAAAGGTGTTTTGTTTTTTTAGAAGAGATTAACATTTAAATCAGTACAAAGTGAATAAAGCAGATTACCCTCCATAATATGGGTGGGCCTCACCTAATCAGCTGAAGACCTAAAGCAAAAGAAAACTAAAGTTCCCCCGAAAAAGAAGGCATTCCACTTCCAGAGCCACACATCCTCGTGTTCTGTTTCTCCGGAGAACCCTGACTGGCGCCGCCGCCTTCCCTTCCTGTCTCATTGTCCCCCTTTCCTACTGGTGCTTCCTGGGGTCACCCTCCTGCATCAGCGACGTGCCCCCGAGTCCCTGACTCCAGGCTCTGCTTCTGGGAGGATCCGAATTTAAACGGGGCAAGTCAGGAAAAGGGAATGAGCTCAGCTTTCAACACGTGCCAAGCACTGTGCTGGGCACTTGACAAAGACCAACTTTAGTCCGCAGAGCCCCATCTCACTGCAGAATCGCGGACGCCATCCATCCCTCTTGCGACTCAAGGGACGGGAGAAGCAGCTTAGAGGCTGAGCCGAGGACACAGCCTCGCCTGCTCGAGGCGGCACGGGGGGATGGCGGCACGTTCACCGGCCAGACTCTTCTCAAATGCTACAGCACACAGTCGCAGACAGACCCAATCCTCCAATTCCCCGAGCGCGATCATTCTGGAAGCTTTTCATCTTTAAGGATCGCCTACTTAGTGCTTCTCCTCGATTTAAAATTTACTTTGACGTTTTAAATTACACAAACAGAAGTTCCCTCCATATCAAACTCTCTCTCCTAGAAGGAAGCGGCCCCCAGGAGACGTAACGATGGAAACCCAGCCTGAGCGAGGAGGTCTCGGAGCAGCCAGGGTGGCAGGAAGAAGTGCAGCCCATGCTGAAGCCCTGAGCGTGGCTGGTAGTTTTCAACGGCACCCACCCCACGTGTGTCTAAAAGGGAGCCCCTAAGAAGGGGAGGAGATGTTGCGGAAGCAGCCAATCAGCCCACTCGGTGAGGGCGCTGGGCCATGGGGGAGGGTGCCCCGCTGCAGGCAGCCCAGCCAGCTGCCCCCGGGAGGGTGCTGGTTCTGATTAGGACCCTCCCCAACAGCACCTCTCACGTCTGCAGGTTTGCCTCCTGGCAGCTTGTGTCCATGCCATGTCCAATGATGTCATGTTGATGGAAAAGCTGATCAGCCCCAAGTACCGCTTCCAGCCGCCTCCTGCCCCTGCCCCCAGCTGGCTCCCCAGGGCCCCCCTGGATCAGGAGGGGCCAGCTGTCTCGCATCAGCCCTGGCTCTGGTCTCTCCCAGCAAGTTGACTCCTTCCCTTGTTCCGTCAAAACGTGATTTCAGCGGTGAAATTCAACCCATGCATTCTCCTTCCAGTTACTCTGAGGTCCCCTTAGAGCAAGCATGGCAAACTCAAAGGCTAACACAGGCCCAATAAACGAGGCATGTGGCCCGCGGGCCGTGAGTTTGACATGCTTGCCTTAGGGTCTCCCGGGAGAGTAGCTGGCTCCCCAGGGCCCCCCTGGACCAGGAGGGGGCCAGCTGTCTCGCATCACCCCTGGCTCTGATCTCTCCCAGCAAGTTGACTCCTTCCCTTGTTCCGTCAAAACGTGATTTCAGCGGTGAAATTCAACCCATGCATTCTCCTTCCAGTTACTCTGAGGTCCCCTTAGAGCAAGCATGGCAAACTCAAAGGCTAACACAGGCCCAATAAACGAGGCATGTGGCCCGCGGGCCACAAGTTTGACATGCTTGCCTTAGGGTCTCCCGGGAGAGGAAGGGCAAGGATTTCCGCTTCCAAAGAATGAATGGTGATTGTCACACCAGGCTGTCCCATTCCTCATCTCACACGGATTTGCCTCATTAGCCCATCCCTGTGCTCCTGGAGAAACTGGAAGGAGCTAAGACAAATGCACCCCAAAAGCCAGAGGAAGGGTGAGGGGTCAAGTCTCCCGGTTTCAACCCTATTTTTCTGCATTGGCTTGAGTGACCTTGGGGCCCAGCTGCTGGTCTGGAGGGAGGGCAGGCGCCCCTGAGTGCCCCTGGCTTTGCCAGGCTGACTGAGAGCCATGGAAGCACAGGTCGCAGAATCGGAGCACAAAACACAACCACTTAGGGCTCACCCCGCCCTGGTTTTGCTCTAAGGACTCAGGTCAGAGGCCAGAATGACCGGCTCCTTCTGGGCCTCCAGAGACTGACAGGCAGGTGGAGGCTGCAGCGTGGCCAGCAGGGGTCAGGGACAGAGTCCTCGGGGGCAACGCATTCACCACCTTACTGATGGCATGCAGGAGGCCCCGAGGAGCCACGGCCACTCCCCAAGCCAAGAACGAAGTGACTCATGAGACTTGGGGTGGGCAGACCTCTTGCTCGATGCAATACATCATAAACCCGTTCTTGAGGCTGTTGGAGTTCAGCGCTGTGTCTGCACCCCAACACTGAGCCAAGGGGCTGCCACTAAAGGGGCTCAGACACACCCAGAGGCAGCAGCATCGGCTGTTTCTGTCTGGATCATCTGCCTCTCCCCACCCTCGATCGCAAGCTCCATGAGGACAGGACTTTGCCTGGCCTCTTCCCCGCTTTGTGCCCAGGACCAAGCATTTTTAAGAGCTTAATAAGGATCTGCTGATTGCCTGACCCAGCAGGCGCTTCAGTAACTCCCTGGGACTGGACACCCACTGGGCTGGTTTTGGAAGCTGTTGTCTCTCAGCTCCAAACCTGTCCTTCTCACTCTGCAGTGCCGGGATGGGGCTCGGCAAACCCATTTCCTCTTTGCCAGTCGCCCTCGGTGTGGCTCTGCCAAGATGGAGAGCTGGGGGGCAGGGGCTGCAAGGCTGGAGGAGGGAGAAGGGGCTCGCTGGGTCCTGCCTGCTTTCCATTCCCACCAGCTTAACCCCGCATCCGTTTTTCACAGCAGCTGGCTCCAACAGCAGTTGATTCAAGTTTCAGTTTCTCCCCCACAGCCAGCCGCCCTGCACCCCCTCAGACACACCAGCAGCGCCAGCTATCAGCCCCTCCTCCAAGTTTTAGGTCCTAGCTATGCAGGGGCTCTTCTCCCAGCTTCTAGGTCCCCGAGGGAGTGGTCCCCCCTAGTGTAACCTTTTCCTTGGGTTCCCCTAGGTGACTAGAGGTGCTCAAAGCTAAGCCACCTGGAGGCTTGGTGGGCCCCACCCTCAGAGGGTCTCATTCAGTTACAATTTGCATTTCTAATACGGTCCCAGGTGCTGCTGCTGCACCTGGTCTGGGGACACCATCTGGTGCAGACCTAGCAGGGTGGCTACTTCCTGCAGTTACTGCCCAGGTCCTCTGTGACCTGCTGGACCGACCCCCAACGTTACACTCCCTTCATGAGAATAACTGCTGTGGTTTCTGTCTTCCTGACTGGACCCTCCCCTGCGGAGCCAGGGCAGACTCACCCCTACAGCGACCCTCTAGAGTCCCCAAAGTATGGCCAGAAGCCACAGCAGCCCCCAGGACGTGACTAACCAGCTGGCCCTGAGCACTCCTGTGGCCACGTGGGAGCCGTGGTTTTCCATTGCTAAAGCGGAAAGGGAAGAGGCGAGTGGAGTCCCTTCCCTGCGGTCCCCTCCCTGTGCATATGCGTGAGCCCCACCAGAGACAAGGCAATAACACCAACTGCTGTGGCTCCCAAACCATCCCCTGGGGGGTGCTGCGGCCGAAGGTGGCGGCAGGTTGGTACCACTGAAGACACCACTCCGACCCCTGTCCCGGAGGCCTAGCTCCCCAGGGGTGCCTCTTTATCGCACAACCCAGGCTGCACTGCCCACAGGCAGCCCTTCGCTGACACTCCCAGCCCTGGATATGCGGACTCCTGTGTTAGGCCTTCATGGCCAAAACCACCACCACCACCACCACCACCACCACCACCACCACGGCTCCTCTGCAGCCACCAGCGACGAGAATGGGGAAGGCTCATCATCGGAGGCCTGGGTGTGGCACTGAGCCGGCCTGCAGCACCGTCTGCTGGTCTAGGAGGAGGGCGGAGGATGCTCGGGGCCTGGACATCCCCCGACCCTGCCTCCATCTGAAAACCCGATCTTCCCGACGATGCAGAGCCAGGGGGGCTGCCTTCTATGCCCAACTCCAGAACCCCCACCGGAAGCTGGACTCACACAGCCACCTGACACGCCTCCTTCCACCTCCATCTGACATCCCCTCCATTTCCACAATGGCTGCCCATCACCCTTCTCAACCTTTCCGTAATGCCACTGCCCGCGCGTTTCAGGGCAGATTTCTGCACGTCTCCCTCTACCAGGAAGATGGAGCTACTGTTCATTTTCCTGAACATCTGTGGCCTGCTGCCTGCAAAACCAGCCGGGAGGCACAGCCAGCGGGAACTCGGAAACATCCCTGACTCGGTGGCTCATTACCGATTTCTCCGGGCACGTGCCTGCCGCGGAAGCGAAAGCAGGCGGTGACATTCAGGCAGTTCACGGGCTGCTGTCCGTCGCGACACTGGGGCGCCGTGATGTTGATGGAGACGGGGAGGAAGATGGAGACGTCCACCGTGATGACCGGTCTCGCCCTGCAAGGTCAAGAGAGGAAGGTGACTCAGACTCGGGGACAAGCAGCTGCCAGAACCAGACAAGAACTAAACAGACGGGACAAATCCCAGGCCTTCAGCCCAGCACTTCACGTGTGAAGTCGCCCAAGAGACAAGGGCCCGGATGCGCTGCCGGTACTTTTCTCTGGTTCTTCAGCTTACTTCCTAATAAATGAAGAACGGTTAGCTTCCCCACAAGAAAGGCAGGTTGGCTGTGAACAAAACACATCTGGATGAAGCCATAAACGGGCCATCGGATGTCAAAATGCCACCAATGAGGTTCCGAGTTCCATTTCATTAGGAAGAAATGAGTATATCTGAGGAGTTGGACAGCCGACGGCACGACTCAAGAAACAGATGCACAATCGGGACCCCCCGGAGCCTCCACCGCCATTAGAAGCATGAATTGTGAAGTTCCAGGCCCGACCGGTGGGCCAGACCTCCCCCTTCAGTGACTCCCATCAATCCACTAAGTATTTTTTCCGAAAGACCTTGACTAAAGGCGTCCCAGCTGCTAACAGCAAAGCACTTCGGAGCTGATGGAACCAACCCGCCTGGCCTCAGTGAAACCCAATAAACATCCCCTCTCTTCACACGGACTCGGCCCGCCCCCCAGTGCTTGATGGATGGGCACCCCTGTTGTGACTCCCCGGAGCGGATCAGCCCATTGTGCTCTCCCGGCAAACATCTGCTCAGGGGCCGTTCACCTAAGCTGTGGCCTGACCTTCTCCTCCCCGCCAGGCCTCACAAAGAGACCTCTTCACCTCCACGGGGCCCTGGCCTTCGTGCACTGGGCTGACATAACAAGATTAAGGGGCATTCGCGGCTCGAGAACAATGACCTTCCTTGTGCACGGTGACCCCTCCAAGAGTGCCCAGGGGGACAAGACAGATGGGAACGAGGACCAACACTAGCTTTGAGGGAAGGAAGCCTGGAAGGAAACCTCGGAGAAAGGAGGGAGCCGGGGGACACGCAGCACAGATGGGGCCAGGGGATTTCACTGCGGCCACCGCTGCCAGGAGACGGGGGCCGAGAGCAACAGTGTGACAAGGACAAGGGAACTGCGGGGCTCCCGGAGCAAACCCAGCCGCAGGACTAACGGAAGGCAGGCAACAGCACTGCCCGAGAGAAATCCAGTATCCTGGCCTTCCAATGTTCTTCTCGGCTCGTCCTTAGAAGGTGCTATAAACAGCTTCTCCTGGTCACGGTGTCTGTACGGATGCCCATGGTCACTCGCTACAGCCCCCCTGGCCCTTCACGGCCAGCTTAGGGGTTCCCCTCCCTTCCTTAGCAACCCTGGCAGTCAATGCCCACCCCTGCTATGGTCTCTGTGTTCACGTACTAATGAAGGTCGCTGTCTATTTCCGAACCTGCCCCACCAGCCTGCAGGCCCCCCAGTGGCTGGGATCCTGGCAAATTCACCCCGATGGTCCCAGGATAGTAACTGTCCAAAAGCCCTTGATAAATGGCTGCAAACTGTACTCCATTATTTCAAAAGGGATTAAAAGCCCAGGAAAAGAACAGGAAAGCCCAAAGTTTCACAAAACAGACAGAGGTCCCCGGGAGAGCAGGTCTGCACCCTGGGGGAGCCCTTCCCTGCCCAGACTGTGAACTTGGTGCTCTGGGTCCCAAGCCTGACTCTGCCTGTATGCGAGACTGATGACCTCTCTTTCAGATTCTCATCTGTTCGGCAAGGTAGTAGTACAGACCCGTGGGGTTCTCATGAGAACTCCGTGAATTAGTGCCTGTGAAATGCTTAGAATGGGGCCTAATCTCATTGTATATGTCCTAGTCATCATAGAAAAGAAAAGCCAGCGCCCTGCCAGCATGGCTCAGTGGTTGAGCGTTGACCTATGAACCAGGAAGTCACAGTTTGATTCCCAGTCAGGGCACATGCCCAGATTGTGAGCTGGATCCCCAATGTGGGGCGTGCAGGAGGCAGCTGATCAATGATTCTCTCTCACTTCTCTGAAATCAATAAAAATATATTTTAAAAAAAAGAAAGAGATAATCTGCTGCTGACTTCCTTTCTGCCAACTGAGCTAAACAAATGTGAGCGCTGCAAGGAATCAGCAATAGAGGAAGCAATCATTTGATAGCCTTATTTTGAAACATACCTCAAATCACTCTACAGTTAGACTTCCACAACCCAGGGCTCATGGAACATCACAGAAAATACCCCAAGAAACAAAAATATACTGATTGCTGAGGGTAAATTTGCAATGAAAATTATAAACTACATGAAGGAACACCATGGAGGAGTGAGTACATTTAACAGATGTGAGAACTGGCATCCAAAGAATAATAGAAGCAGTTTAAAGAACAATAGTATGTTTGCTTAACGTTATTAAGAAATTAAGAGATAGATCATAAGGAAAGATTAACCGACATGATGGAAAGAACGAAAAGATAATGTGTATCTGAGCTCCAGAGGAAGGACTAAAGAGAATGGGAGAAGCAATAATTGAAAAAATAATGGGTTCACATTTTCTGAAATAAATGAAAGGTACACATCTTCTGATTTTTAGTAAAGTCTGGGGAAAAAAAAAAAAAGGAAAGAAAGAAAGAAAAGAAAAGCCAGCCCCTCCCATCATCCCAGGGGCCACCTGGGACATCTGGTTCCTCCTCTCACGGCAGAGATTTGCAGAAGGCGAGGTGAACAGGAAACAGAAGTCAGCGGGCCAGACAAAATGATGAAAGTTGTTCAAACAGAATCCTTTGAAATGACCCGCGAGGACCTTCCCGGGCACATCTCCCTCCAACATCAGTTCCCTCCAACCTTTGTGTTCCAGCTCCAAGTATTGTTTTTGGACCAGGCGGAGCCCAGAAATCTTTCATGGGCCTCTCTGATCACTTCCTCTGCCTCAATGGCATCACACCAGCCGCCTATCGTCCCGCCACAGGACCTGGCCTCCCCAGCTAATCAGAGAGAACAAACTTCCTGAGGGCAGAGCTGGCCCTGCCCGCACTCCTGTGGGCGGGAGGCTGGGCTGCCCGGGGCCAGCCTCGGGGATGAAAGCAGAGGGGCACCTCAGGACAGCCATGCACATGTTCCCGAGATTTTATTCTGGGGGAAGCTGGTGGCTGGAATTCTTCCCGATGGCTGGCAGTCGTAGCTCACGTCCAGGTGAGGAAGGAAGCCAGGCAGGGTGCCCTGGGCTTTCTCGGGGTCAGTGCTGCTGGAGGGGCAGGGATGGGTGGACAGAAAGAGCCTGAACGGCTGGGGAAGACGCCAGCCTGCCAAACCTGCCCCAAAGCCATCCATCTTTACATAGGAGACAGGGGACCAAGAAGCAGGCTCAGAAGGAGGCAGGTGTAACCTAATTCATGTCAGAATTGCTCGCATGTATTGAGCACTGAGATTAGGCTCCGTTCTAAGCATTTCACAGGCACTAATTCCCGGAGTTCTCATGAGAACCCCAGGGGTCGGTTCTACTACCTTGCTGAACAGATGAGAATCTGAAAGAGAGGTCAGCAGACTCACATACAGGCAGGGTCTGGCTTGGGACCCAGAGCACCAGGCCCCCGGGTTCACACTCTCAGCCTCAGGGGGATTCTGCCTCTTCAAAGTATTTGGGGTTCCCCGGGCGTTAGCTGTACCCTCAGAAGCTGAAGGCACTGCTGCATGAGAGGGACCTGGGGTGAGGAACCACATGGCCCCTGGGACCCCTTCCAGCTCTGAGATCCTACTCGCCTATTTTAGAACGTTCTGCCATCGGGTTATTAACAAAACCTACGAGTTGGCTCCCACTCCAAAGTGTAATTCTGCCTCCTCTGACTCATGCAGACAGAAATGCTTGGAGATGGTTCACGGGTGGGATGGCGGCCCACGGGCCTCTGTAGGGGAGATGCAGGCTGCCTGGGCCCCAGCACACGTCTCTCAGCTCCACTGCTACCAGGGAATGATGCGCTGTCCCTTGGGCAGAAGGTTCCTGGTCCCTGAGGGTGGGGAATGACGAGGTGAGGAAGGGAGGATGCAGGGTGTGAGGTGAAGACATGGGACAGGACAGCGCTTCCCGGGCCCCTGAGTGTCACGGCACCCACAGGAACGATCGTATGAGCACAGCGTCTGAACGAAAGGGGAAAAGGGTCGTTCGTGGCTAAACGCAAAACCCCTATGGCCCAGGATGCCGCAGACTCTGCCTAGGAGCTCCAAGGATGCTCTCTCTCTCACACCTGTGAGCCACTGCAGGCCCACCAGCTGGAAACCCTGCGACAGAGAATAACAGGAAAGGTAGCAGTGGCCCTGGCCGGCGCGCTCAGTTGGTTAGAGCATCCTCCCAATACACCAAGGTTGCAGGTTCGATCCCCGGTCAGGGCTCATACAAGAATCAACCCATGAAGGCAAAAATAAGTGGAACGACAAACTAATGCTTCTCTCACTCTCAAATCAATAAACTAAAATATTTTTTTAAAAGAAAGGGAGCATTCCCACGGACTAAGCACCTCAGCCAACAAGGAGCAGGACAGAGGGAATTGCTGGCTAATGGTGAATGACTCCCCCAAGTCCCCCCCCCACCACCACCAATCCCTCCCCTCACCCACGAAGAATGCAATCCAAGAAGCAAGAGGGAACATCTCACCTTAGAAGAACCACGCTGTCGTCCATGAAGGCTCCAATAGTTACATCTGAAAGCCAGAAACATGCAGATTTAGAAACTTGCTGAGGCCTATCCCCTCTACCCCAAGGCTCTCCACAGCAATGGGGCCTGGCCTCGAGGTCGGGCCGCTGACGGCCAGCCTCTGGGCTCCAGAATGGTCCTGTCAGAACCAGAGCCACACGGGCCCGTACGGCAGCCAATCACCAGGTGTGGCCATCGAGCCTTTGGAATGTGCCTGGTCCGCACCAAGATGTGTTTTGAGTGTAAAATCCAGACCGATTTCAAAGACCTCGTTCAAAAGAACAGCCAGCCACACGGGCCCGTACGGCAGCCAATCACAGGTGTGGCCGTCAAGCCCTTAGAATGTGGCTGGTCCGCACCGAGATGCGTTGTGAGTGTAAAATCCAGACCGATTTCAAAGACCTCGTTCAAAAGAACAGCCACCTCCTTAATTTCCATATTGACTCTATGTTAAAATGATAATACACTGGATATACTGGGCCAAATAAAATGTTATTGAAATTAATTCCACCTGTCCTTTTATGTGGCTACTAGAATATTCTAAACTACATATGTGGGTCACATTGCGTTTCTTTTGGGCATCCATGAATGAAAGAGAGGGCTACCTGGAATTACATGATCTTGGAGAAAGCCCCGAGTTCTGTGGCTTTCTCTCTCTCTGCCACCCCAGAGTCGCTCAGCACCCTTGTCTGAACAACGGAGACAATTATCCCGCGTCTTCTTCAAAAGCCGGTAACATTTTCAGAAAACATGCATTCAATATTTGTCAAACATAATATTAAATGTGTTCGATGTACTATTTATGAAGTACTTAAATATGTATCAAATATAAGAAATTAGATATTTAATTCAGAAAATACTTGGTAAACTACACACCAAAACACAAGTGTTAGCTGGCAGTGTTTATTCTAAATAACTTTAATTTAGGAAGCATTCACTCGCCCAACAGCCCTCTGCCTTTCTTCCCGTCTCATATAAGCCCTCAGCCTTGGGGTTCCCATTACTCCTCTGCAGAACCCAGCATCTGAGTCCAAGAGCCTGAGTCCCTACATCTATCCAACACCCTCACCGGGGGAAAAACAAAGAGCAAATCCACGAACTGTGTTGCTGCTGAAATGTTTGCGGTTGGGTACGCTTGCTCGTTTTGTTATCTTCCAACCGTCTTTTTAAATTGATTGAATATATGAAAATAAAAGAACCCGATCAACTGGCCGTTTCGTTTATGAAAAATGCACGATAGAGTCAGATTCCTCGTGAAGTATTAACACACCTGCTCAGCACGCATTTATAGAGAAGCAGGCTAGGTCCTCGCCCACCACAGTGTGGTCCCTGCCAGTCCCTTCAGTTCTCTGAGGCTCAGTATCCTTGACTGTATAGTGGGAGGGGGGAGGACACCCCCATCTCCACCTACCTACGGGGGTTATTATAAGATGCCCATTGCATGTGGAAGCATTTTGCATATATTAAAGTGCTAAACCGTCGTAAGGCATTATTTAGGGATGGCCACAAATTGCCAGGGACAAGAACTGCTCTCTCAAACTGAAAAAGGCCCATGAGGATCTACAGGGACAGCAACGTCCACACTGACCCTTTCCTATCCCCACTCCTCCTGGCTCTGTACCGTTGCGAGGGATGCTCAAAACCCTGGAAGAAACTACAGAACTCGGTGCCCTGCTACAGGATTTCATTACTTCTCCCAGGTCCTCCTGAAGCACTCTGGGTGGAAAGAAACATCTTCTCTAGATAGATAGCAGGATGACCTACAGTTTCAGGGAAATTTTTTCTGAATTCCATGATGATTTTGGATTTTTAAAATTCTGATCTCTGTTTCCTTACCTCATCCCACTCCATCCCCTTCAAATGCCTGAATCAGGTATCACTTGGGACTGGGGTTTGAAAATCCTACATTTTTATTCAATTTGCTTCAACCACCGCAAGGCATTGACTCTGAAGACAAGCCAGCCAGCCAGCCTGAACGGGGAAGGTCTGCTTTGTTCGCCAACGGTTTTCTTTTTGCTCAAAATCTTTCAATAATTTTCATGCAGGGGGAGGGATGCTACTCAGTCCCTTTTCCCCTCTCGAGAGTAAGAAAATTCTGACTATGATTAAATAATATCAAGGAAGCCCTGAACGGTGTGTCTCAGTGCTTGAGTGTCATCCCGTGTACCAAAAGGTCACTTGTTCGATTCCCGGTCAGGGCACCTACCCAGGTTGCGGATCTGATCCCAGGTCGGGGTGAGAGCAGGAGGCAACCGATCAATGTTTCTCTCTGACACCAATGTTTCTCCCTCTCCTCTCTCTCACCCTTCATCTCTCCCTAAAATCAATAAAAAACATACTTTAAAAAATAATATCAAGGAAAACATAAGGTTTCACTATTTATAATTTTTAATGTAGATGTGCTTTTTTTTTTCTTCATGAGAAAGACTGGCAGCCACAGAATTCACTGCAAAATCCACCCACCTGCTGCTTCCACTCTTCAGAGTAGGTCATTTTAAAAAAAAACCCCAAAAATGCCCTGCGGACGTGGCTCAGTGGTTGAGCATTGACCTGTGAAACAAGGGGTCATGGTTCAATTCCCAGTCAGGGTACATGCCCAGGTTGTGGACTCGACCACTCAGGGTCATGCAAGAGGCAGCCATTCAATGATTCTCATCATGGATGTTTCTCTCTCTCTCTCTCCCGTTCCCGTCCTCTCTGAAATCAATAAAAAACATATAAAAAAAAATTAAAAACCCCAAAAGAGACTTCCACATTTTCACCTTCAAATCAAACACCAGGCCAAACACCCCCTGCTAAGGGTGTGAATTTTCCTAATCTTAAAGAGACGTAACCACGCTACCTCGTGCGTTTTTCCTTCGTGTATCTCAGTGGTTCTCAACCTTCCTAATGCTGCGACCCTTTAATACAGTTCCTCATGTTGTGGTGACCCCCAATTTCATTGTTACAAATTGAACATAATTAAAGCATAGTGATTAATCACAAAAACAATATGTAATTATATATGTGTTTTCCGATGGTCTTAGGCGACCCCTGTGAAAGGGTCGTTCGACCCCCAAAGGGGTCGCGACCCACAGGTTGAGAACCGCTGGTGTACCTCACCTGCCTTAAGGGAAATGGCTTACCGGGATAGCCGTTCCCGTCCATGTCGATGCCTCCTGACATGGACTGCCCGAACATCCGCAGGACTGGACTGATCTTCCGCCCGGACAGTTTCTGAAACAGACAACAGGGAAACTGAGTCGCCGGAAAGGAGCACAGTCCCGGATAAGCCCCGTGACTGTTTCAGCCCAGCTTCCAAGGACACCTGGTCTTGACTTTGTTGAAAGAAAAGCTTAAAAAAAAGGAGTCCTGATTTGATCAGGGAGTCTTTGGCAGGCAGCTAAAGACCACACACTCCTTTACTATTCCTTGCCTTCGCCAGATGCCATGATTTACATTTGTTTCTAAGTTCGGGGCTAACGAAAGAGCTACCCAGCCCAGTGTGTTGATGTTTTGACATGTTCAGTGAAGTGTGAAGTGGATAATGTGCGGCTGCCCTTTCTAATGAAGGTTCTGTGCTGTGTTTACACGGGGAGAGCTGGCTGAAATTCTAAGAACATACTTTCCCTTATATCACCCTTCCCAAACGTGTAACTAACCATGTTACACTCCTCCCCTAAGCGGTACACGTTGGAGTCTTTCCCTCGGCGGACAGGCAATGCGCATGTCTAGATGGACCAGCCGGCCACGGGCGACCGCCTCTCCATGCAGCCAACCAGAAGATCTGCAGGCTCCTGAGCTTCCCTGACAGGGTGAAGCAGCTTTACCTAGGAAATCTAGAACTCCAAGGCCCTGGACCTCCCATGCACTGTAGGAAACCCCCCAAATTCGCTGGAGCCTCCTCCCTGAAGGGCGGCTCTCAACCAACCATTCAGAGTTCACGGCCCGACCAACGCCAGGCACTCAGCATCTGTGCTCTTGACTCATCATTCATCACCGTATGTTCACACGGTGGATCAAGATGATCTGCTTATAAGCAACCTTCGTCATACATCGACCTTCGTGGGGCTGAGCTTCCTGAATCAGAAGAGTCCTATCTTCTGGCATCTGACCTGCCCCGCCTTCTCTTTGTCTATACAGTCTCCTTGCGGAGGCTCAGTCCATGATACCCTCATGGTAGGTGACAAGATAAATGCTTTGTTTTCATGCCACGCAGCAAAATCCTCGTCAGAACCAGGCACACAGATGCCCAGGGGCTCCCTGTGGGCTTTCTCCCCTTACCCTTTTCCTTACTGGGCCAACCTCCAGAGAAGTCAAGAGGCCGGGGGAGGGGAGTTTCCATAGGATCTACAGATGGACACTAGGCCAAGGCCATTCCCTGCTACAAAGAGCCCTCCACTCGCCATCTCCAGTGAGGCCATCCAGCAGGAGATGCGCGAGCAGCAACGTACAAGTCAGAACCCTGTCGGAAGCACTGAAGACATGTGTCTCGCTCCCAGGCACAGTCCGCATCCCACATGGCCCTGTGTAAACAAATGTGGATGGACGCCACATCTTGAAGCCGACCACCTCGCTCTGAGGTCCACCAACGCCGGCGGCAGCCTGCCCTCCCTTTGCCTGTCTGAGGTCTGCTCGGCTGGGGCGCGGGGGAAGAGCGGAGGGGTGGTCCGCTCGGGGGTGGCGATGCAGGCTGACGTTCTCCCGCAGACATCTGCAGGCCATTAGGCCAGAAAGCCAGGAAGACACGTCTGCTCGGTGCTAATAACTCTAAATGAAAACCAGGAGCTCCACCAGGTTTGTCGACAGTGTCCTCCGGGCAGGAGGGCAGGAGAGAGGGGAGAGATGGCAGGGGCCGCCCTAACGTGCCCAGGGGGCTGTGGAACCCAGAGAGGCACGCAAGGATCTTAAAATCAACCCTTTTCACGGGGCCCCGGAGAAAGAGGAACGAGCGATGTGGAAGAACTTGACTCCGATCGCACAATTTACCCAGCAGAAATAATACCGAGCCGGGCCAAGGAAAAGCGCCTGCCTCGCCCGGGGTTGTTTCTGATTTCCTCCCCGAGTTCGCCCACACAATGCCCGCTCTGTCCGGGCCTGGGCCCCGAAGACTCTGTCATGAGAGGGTTTTAGTTTCCTTTCTCAGTCCCTGACCTTATCACATCCATAGGAGCAGCTCGGAAAAGTCTAATCATAGTTGTTTCTTTCTTTCTTTCTTTCTTTCTTTTCTTTTTTGAAGAGCCCCAAACGACTTCTCTTTGTCAACGTTAACGAGCCAACCTGCTGACAAAGGCCGGCCGGGCCCAGCTGCTGATCCCCGCTTCCTACTGCAGGCACCACGCTGACCACACATTTAGACGTCAGCTGCTTGCCTGCAGGATTCCGCCCAGCAACGGAACAAAACACTGGAGCGAGGGGGAGGGGGCCCTCGCAGGTTGCCTCCCCGTGTGGCTGGCTTCCGAGGTCCGGGAACAAGCTTCCAGAAGGATGCGTGGAGAGTGACCCCGGGCGGTCGGCTGGCCGAGGACGGGGCTCCCGGGATGATGGTCAGCTCCTCAGCAGGAAGACCACAGGGGCCGCCACGACAGGGCTCTCGAATTGAGAAAGACACCACGGATCCTAAACCAACACTCTTCACGGTGAACTCAAGAAAGAGGAATGAGTTCCGGGGCAATGTGCACGAACCCTCAGCTTGTTGCCCCCCGGGTAAGGGTGCCCCCCACTCAGACTAGAGCAGCCCTGGTGATGCGCATGGGACCCCCAACTGTGACTGCAGCCCTCTCCCTTCGCTATGTTGGCAGAATCCCCTAAGAGCGTATTCCCACCATCCGTGGTTCTTTTCTGATAAAACGTGGAAGATCCGTGTAGATAAAGGCCCCTTGGAGCACGTACGTCTCACAGCGAAGTTTCCACATGCCTACGTTTTCCCACTGGGCTTCCGCCAGGGGTCCTTGCTCCGACGTGCAGCGGAGGGTGGTGGGTACAACGAAAGGTTTGGGAGTCGGACTGGCAGTTTCAATGGCCATGTTGCCACATGTTGGGCAAGTTAAAGAACCTCCCTGGGCCACAGTCACCCCACAAATAAAAGGTGGGTGATAAAAGTACTCGTCTGGGACACAAGAAAAGGGGTGGGGGGTAGGGAAGGCCGGAGGAAGGTCAAGCGGGGGAAAAAAAGGAGACATATGTACTACTCTTTGTAATATTTTAAGCAATAAAAAAAAAAGTACTCGTCTCGCATGGCTGTTAGGAGGATTCAAGGTAAGAGGCAGAGCTGTCCCTCCACTCGGTATCTGCCCCCCGGAGTCACACACGGAGCAGGAGGCCCTGCCCAGAGGGAGCCTGACGCCCCACTGGCAGCGACCCTCGGCCCGTAAGCAGCCAACTTCTAGTGCAGCAAGAACAACAACTATGAATGTACAAGCTGACCTCCCAGGACGTACTGCCTCTAAAAATCAACTTGTAAAGTCTGTTTTTCCCTTACCTAGGAACTTCAGGACGGGAGCTGGTTTTGGTATTTTACTACCATTTCATTTTATGGAACATTTATAGAACCTTGTATAAAAGCAAGGCTCCGTGCAACACTGTGTTTCCTTAGCCATAATCCTCTTCGCGATGAGAAATATAAGCATGAGCAGGAAGGCGGGAGCGCATAATAAGCGCTCGATAAGTCAGTATTTGCTGACGGGGAATTTCTCGGTTTGGGCTCCGTCCCTCCCTGTCCCTGACCCGCCGGGAGCACGCCGCAGGCCTGGGCCCCTCTCCGCACAGACATCCTGGCGGTGCTGCTGCCCAGAGCACCACTTCCTGTTTCCCAGGGGCTGGGCTCGGCACCATCAGCAAGTTTGAACACCAAGCTGATACGACAAAAAACTGAACTCACCACTTCCATGTTCCCCAGTCTGGGGCACGAGGCCAGAGCGTAAGCCGCTTCTCGTGTCCATGCCAAATGGGACAACAGCCCTGTGACGGCTTTCAGGTCCCTCCTCCGTGGATCTTTCTAGATCATGTTTTACAATAGATCCTTCAGCTTTAGCACAGACGGTTGACAAAGGAGTAACAACAACAACAAAGAAAGCCTCCCCTTAAATCAATCGCTCTAACTCTGGGTTAAGAATTTGGACATGATCTTGTGTCGGCAGAATGCACCCCTCAATGTCAGCCAACTCTGGAGTCTATAAATGTCTTGCTCTTTCATCAGCAGTACCCATCGTCTGTGCCTTTCATTAGAGGGTGGCACGGCCAAGGGCAGGAGCGAAGTTGTCGGCGCCTCTGGCCCCCAGGGTGTGGCACAGAGGAAAGTGGAATGAATGGAGGAACAAACAGTTCCCTCTCCCACCATTACCATCGAGTACTGAGGGACTATCCCGTCGGCGTCCCCGTGGTAGATGTAGACGGCGCCCGAGAAGTCGTCCTCCATGGGCGCGCCGACGGCCACGTCTGAGGGGAGAGAAACAGCTGCCGTGAGAAAAGCCACGTGGAATACCCTAAGAGCGGATTCCCTCGTTCCTGCCATCATGTCTGAGTCCCCCCAAACCAAAAATGTCTTGGTTGTTGCTTGTTCAAGCATCCACTCAGGCACATAATCTCTCAGCAGAAAAAAAAAAAGTCGAAAGAAAATGATAGGAGCTAGGAAGAGTTTAATTCCGGGAAAGCTCCTAGCTCAGGGGTGGGCAACTCCTGGCACGCGTGCCAAACATGGCACACCAGTCACTTTTGCTGGCACGCCAAACCCTCTCTTATAATCTTCCATTGACAATTTTTTTTCTTAATGTCGACTTTTTTATTTTTCAGATAAATTCAGTGTAGGTGCATCTTAGATAAATAAATAATTTTACATAACAAGTTATCTTAAAGACCATGGACATGGCTGACTTGGAAATGCAGTTGATTGAATTTCAGAGTAGCTCAATTTGGAAGCAGAAATTTATTGACCTTAGAGTTGACTTGGAAAACATTGAAAAAAAGCAATTAGAGACAGGAGTACCAGAGAGAAGTGTCGAAAACGAACTATTGAGGACTTGGAATGCCATTCCAGAAAATTTTTTCTGTTTAAAAAACTTTGCAACAGTGTTACTCTCCATGTTTTCATCCACATACGCTTGTGAATCTTTGTTCTCAGTGATGAATTTTGTTAAGTCTCGTAATAGGAGTAGCCTGACGGATGAAAGTAGTAGCTCGTGCATATCTCTGAAGGTCACGAAATATAAACCTGATGTAAAATCTCTGTCATCAGTGATGCAGCAGCAAAAGTCCCACTGATAATATCAAACGGAGTCATAAAGTTTTCTGTCGGACTATCAGTGTACATGTATACATTAAAAAATAAATGTATTTTTCATCATCATATACTGTGTTTTTGTCGCTTGAATGAATTTTATTATTTCTTCAAGGTTCTTCACATACGTACACCTTAAGAGATATCAAGTAGGCGTAACATGTTCTCAAAAAATTAGGGTTGGTACGCAGAAGAATTTTGAGTTAGAGATTTTGCTGGTTTTGGCACGCACTCACAAAAAGGTTACCCACCCCTGTCCTAGCTCATTCTCTTAGGGAGAAAAATATCACTGAGCCACCCAAAAGAAGAAATACAAAGATAAACCTCTGGCCCAATTTCCGTCCGCCAGAGGGGGGAATTCTATAGACAATGGTTACTGCATAGAAAAAGCCAACTCTAGCCCTAGGTGGTTTAGCTCAGTGGATAGAACAATGGACTGCAGACTGAAGGGTCCCGGGTTCGATTCCCAGTCAGGGCATATGCCTGGGTTACTGGCTCAGCCCCTTGTGTGGGGCGGGCAGGAGGCAGCCAGTCAGTGATTCTCTCTCATCACTGATATTTCTATCTCTCTCTCCCTCTTTGAATCAATGAAAATATATTTTTTTTAAAAAGTCAACTCTATTCCTGGATGAGGAAATGTATACAATGGCATTTGCTTCACACACAGAAAAAACTGACACTATTCTCACAAACTGACAATTCCTGGAACAAAGCCTAGATCTTCCTTATTTTTTTGCCCTTTGCTTTTAACGAAAGTCATGTGTCTGCAGAAGTGAGGTCAAGGGTGAGAGGCGTGCACCCACGTGACCTCCAGTGGCGATCCCCCGCTCTTGAATGAAGGCCTCTCGGGCCAGTGGTGTGAGGGCGTCCAAGCAGCCTGGCCTGAGGCAAGAGCGGTCCCCAGCCCCTCTTCCACCTCGGCCATCGCCCAGTGACATGGCTCCCGCAGGTCCTGATATCTGACATCTGCCTCTACAGGGAGGGGAGGAGGCTCTGAACAGGCCAGAGAGAGAGGCCACATCCGGGAAGGACAACTGCTGTCCAAACAGAACTACACATTCGGTATCCCCAACCCCCAACAATTAAAACTTATTCAAAAGTCAGTTCAACCCGGCCAGTGTGGCTCAGCGGTTGAGCATCAACCTATGAACCAGGAGGTCTTGGTTCGATTCTCAGTCAGGGCACATGCCCAGGGGTGGGCTCGATCCCCAGTGTGGGACGTGCAGGAGGCAGCCGATCAATGATTCTCTCTCATCACGGATGCTTCTATCTCTCTCTCCCTCTCCCTTCCTCTCTGAAATCAATAAAAATATATTTTTAAAAAAGTCAGTCCAGCATGCTGTGACTATCAGGGGAGAGAATGTCAAACTCTCGCCTTGCTCATTTCACGAACAACACGGTAGAGCCCTGTGGAGCCTCAGAGGCTCAGAAACAAGATGTATCTGCGCAGGGAGGAAGCTGGCTTGAGCTCCTCTGCCATCCGAAGCCCCAGTGGACCGGCCCCAAGGTTCACTGGCCCCACAATCACATAGCAAAGCACACGGAGCTGACGAGACGGGACTCCTGGAAAGCAAATGCCCGTGGGCTCAGAGCTCAGCCCTGAGTGCCCGCACACAGAGCATCTTCTCTGAAGGGGTCATCTCTCCCCCATGGGCAGGTAGATCCAGGAGCGCATCACACAGGGGCCAGGTTGGAAGGCAGGGGGCAGGCGCTCACCCACCTGGGAACCCGTCGTCGTCAAGGTCCCCCAAGCTGGCGATGCTCTCCCCAAAGTGTGCGTTGTAGGCGCCATCCCCGCTCAGGGCCAGCTGCTCCTCCAGGGCTCCCTGGGAAACAGGATGGAGGAAAAACGGAAATCAAAACAAAAACACAATAAAAACAACAGAGCTGGGAACACCACCTCTCTAGCACACCCCCATGGACAGGAAACTCCTGGGCAGAATCAAAGGCACCCAAACCGCTCTCTCCGGGGACAAGATGGGTCCCTTGTACCTGGGCAGCATGGGGCTCTCCAACAGCCTGGGGTGCCTTTTGGAGGGAGCGTGCGGGAGGCAGCCAATCGGTGATTCTCTCTCATCATTGATGTTTCTCTCTCTCTCTCCCTTCTCCCTTCCTCTCTGAAACCAATAAAAATATATTTTTTTAAAAAATAGGAAGAGGTTCAAGAGAAATAAGAATACTTAGGTACTTAGGGTCAGCACGTGGCTTTAAGAAACATGGGCTGTGGGGGGTGAGATGTGGGGGTGAAATGTTCCCAGAGAAGATCTGGGGAACGCTCCTGCTCCAAGTGTCCACGCCCCGACTTAGACACATGGCCGGGCTATCCGTCTGGTCGCCTGATTGCCTCAGACAAGTTAACACCCACGCAGATGTGTCAGGCTCCCGCGAACAGAGTGGCTGGGAGGGGCTGAGTGAATGCCTGCTGTTCTCATCTCCACAGTGATCACCTCATGTCCCCCAGGCACCTCCCCCACCCCGTCCCCCTCACTGAAACGTCAGCAGAGATGCAGGTGACCAGTGGCTGCACCAGGTACCAGGAAGCATCTTCCTTCCCTTGCAAAGAGTTTGCAAACATCCAAGAAAGCCCAAGGCTCGCGTGTGCCCTGGCTCCTCTGTCAATGGCTGCCCTTTCTTCCTGGCACCTGCCCGCCTGGTTACGGTGACACGCCAGCGCCTCTACCCAACTGGGATATCTAGCATCTTGTCAGTGCTTAAAAGTTCACTCACTGTTTTTTGGGGTTTTTTTATGATGAAAGCATGACATGTTTGCTATTTGGGATAAAGATAAAACTAAAAATCTGCCCAAGACCACCACCCAGAGCGATGTTATTATCCTCCTCTGTGGATTTGCTCTATTTTTAAAGGTGGTTTGTATACGCCGTTTTTAATCCTGCTTTGCACTGATTATCTCATAAGCATTTTCTCATGTTAGCTCCAAGGCTGGTGGTACCAGAATTTATTCATTTAAACATTCCCTCCTGGCTGAACACTCTTACTTCCAGGTCCTGAAAAGATTTCACTTTCTCACTGCTCTCCCCCACACCCACCTCCTCCACTCGGCTAAAGGGAAACAGAGGCATCTTTCTACCCCATCACATCCCTTTCATGATGCTGCAGAATAAGGGACATCTGATTGGGGCTCTTGGTCCCCACCCAGCCCCCATGCTGAACTAAGTGGCCCCGCTGTCTCACACCTCCACCCACTCACCCAGCTCCCAGCCCACTCCTGCCTGTCTGCCCAACTCCCACTCCTTCCTCAAGATTCCTTCTAGCCGTTGTGTCCTCTGAGAAGGATTCTCTGCTGCCCGGGCAGATGCACGTACACACCGAGGAAGGCAGCACAATCTAGAGATGAAGCTCTGAATCCAGCCTGCTTGGATTCAAACCCCGGCCCCACCACTCCTTAGCTGTGTGATTTGGGGCAGGTTACCTGACCTCTCTGGGCCTCAGTTTGTTTGTTTTTCACCTGAAACATGGGGGCCACTGATACCAGGTGCACATTATACTGAACTCATTCACAGAGAGCGGGAGGAACAGTTCCTGGTACCCGGTAGGCACTCAAAACACAGCCATTAAGATTTTCTGAACCCCTGTGTGTTGGCAGTTGTAACTTTCCATCAGTGGAACACTGAGCTTTCTGAAGGTAGGAAGCTCGTCGCGGGGCGCAGTGCCTAGCCCAGAGGGATGCTCGGTTACTACTTGCTAGACAAGTCCCCCTCCCATACCCTGTCCACAGGCTGCCCAGCACTGTACTCACATTTCCTCTGTTGATGTAGACGGTGACCTGCCCCTCGTCCCTGATCTCAGAAAACATGGGGGCCCCCACCAGCAGGTCGGAGAGGCCGTCCGCGTTCAGGTCAACTGCGCATAAGGAGGAGCCGAAGTAAGAGCCCATCTGCAACCAAGTCGAGTTGCAACAAAGCGTTCAGTGTCTGCCCTCACACAGGAGGCCCTCGCTCTCCTCCAGCCCCGGACCCCTCACAGGCCCTGACGGTGGCGCTGCCCGCAAGCCAGAACGCCAAGGTGAACGGGCAAACACCCGACTTCCCTGTGTCTTGCAGCTGTGACGCGGGGCCCGCAGGCGCCAGGAGACCAGAGCTAACTGGCTCAGAGTCCCCTGTCCTGGAGCCCTACCCAGGGGGACAACCAACGGACCCATCCCGGGAGAACGAGGCACTGTTTTTAAAAATACAAACTGAGGTTGCAAGTATAGGTTCCAACCATCATAAAAGCACCTGGTGATCCAGACATCTGACAAGGCCCAGCAAATAGGAATATGAAGTTTCAGGACACGAGGAGGCATGAAACAAATGTGACATGGGAAACAGGTGACCCCCTCCCAGCCAGATAGGAACTCATGGGCTGAAGTGACAGAAAAAGGGAGAACTCGTGGACCACTGGATGGATGAGGGACCCAGCCAGGCTACACGGGCTCATCCTTACTCATAGCCTAATCCAGTCCCTATTACCTTAAATCGGGGTTCTTAAACCCAAACGTGAATGGGATCCAGGCAAGTGATATAACAGGTAAGAAACAAATAGCAGTGCGAGTATGCTTACAGGTGGCAAGTGACGCTAGGCTTCAGTGGCTAAGGCACAATAGGGAGTGGTGGAGACTGTGGCAAACTGGCATCCACAGACCCAGCGACGGGAGCAGCTCCTACCCAGCTTCGGTCAACTGCTACCCTGAGGAAGGCCAACCGTCCCATTGTCCAAGAGAAGCCCAAAATAAAACAATTTATTTGAAGGGCCTATTTTTTTTTTAATGATAGCAACTAATTCCTATTAAAAACAAACAAACTTACTACACAGGACAAACAAACATTTTTGTAGGCTGTATCCTTTCCAGAGGCTACCAGCATGCAAGCTCTGATCTTTATTAGAAAGGCTACCCTTTTAAAATCCATGTTTTCAAATAAAAGGGCTCTGGTTCTATGGACACGAAGCAGCATTTCCTTCCACTGTTGGTAGTATGACACAGGTGGAGGACACTCCAGACCCCTCCCTGCAGTGGCCCTGGGCCAAGAGGACTCCGATGCCCTCTCCCAGGCACATGCCAAGGCCACGTGCACTCAACGCACATGCCCCCCAACCCCTCATGCCCAAGAGAGGAGGGCAGGGAAGGTTCCGAGGCACGGGAGGCAGGGACACAGAAACCAGCCGCCAGGCGCCGACTGGGTGGCTGTGCCGATCTCCCTACCCGGACATGAGTCAAAGGACTGAGACCCAGGCAAGGCCCCAGGGAACGACTTGTCTCAGTCTAATGGGCTGTTTAACTTGGCATGTTCTTCGGTGTTAACTCAGAAATCCCTGGACGTGAAGTTCCCTATCTCTGTTTTGACATAACTGATGCATCACATACTCAGTCAATTCCGTAAAACTTCAGCCTGGCAACGGCGCGCTGTGGGGTGTGCGGTCCTTGCTCTGAGAGCTCCCGTCAAGCCTGGGGATGCGGGGACGTGGGCCTCGATTAACATCTGGACTGCACACACACTGGTGATTCCTCATGTGTCCTATGCATGAAGCATGCCCACCAATGAAGACCAGAACTGGGTTTTTTCTTTCTTTTCCTTTTTCTTTCTTTTCTCAAGGTGAAGCCAGGAGATAAGACTATCTGATCAAATTCTGGCCACACGAAAGCAGAAGGGACCGGTGGTTTACTGAGTCAGACCCCTCTTGTGTGTGTGAGACTCTGCTAAAGGCATCCTTTGAGGGCCTGGGGTCATGACCTTCCCCTATGAAATGACAGAGACGTCAAATGGGCAAGAATTCCTCATATCTTCGGGGAAAAAGCGGAAGAAAATGCCTAAGGAGAATAAGGGTCTATTTCGAAATCAAAAAGAGGCGATGGGGGTAAAGCTAGAAGACAGTGCAACCAGAGGGCAGGAGGGATTGGTTGACGAAGGAGTAAGTCTGGAACGGTGCCAGGAGCGGGCAAGACGAGCCCTAAAGAGAATGACAAATAGCGCCCACGCCCGCCTTGATCCTGGGGACTCTTCGCCACTAACGCACAGTTATTTCTCTCTAACGCTGGGGGTGCTTGGAAACCTTTGCAGAACTGCTCAGGGTCATTTTCCAGGGTCGCTGCTTTGCGGGTTGGAAATGTTAAAATAACACAGGCAGCCCAGCTCTCGGGGGAATGCGGAGCTGTTCTCAGGGGAAAATGTCACAAAAGCGAGTTTGGAGATGCATTTTTTTACTTTATTTTTTACTGAAAATATGATGACAATTCAATACTGAGCATGTGCCTTAAGGTTGCTAAAACTGCACAAAATGAGTAGATTTTTGTCCTTGCAATAGGATTCATCTTCAGAACAATATGTAACTCACACAGCAGGTCTGACTCTGAGCAGAAACTGAACTAGGGCCAGGACACATGGCCGCCCAGGAAGGAAACAGCCTTTTTTTTCCCATTTCTCTGGGTAGTGGAAGGGAAATCACCTTCTGACAGTCTCCTGGTGTCTCCCTCCCAAGCCTCAGGTCCTGTCCTCTCCCCAGAGCTCACTAACCCCGCCTCACCCCCCAGCTGAATTCCTGTCCCCTTTGAGCTGCCAGTCATGCTAAGCAAGCCTGCTGATCTAAGCCACACTAAGGAGTGGGTGGCGGATAAGCCCATGTTTAATAATCAACAGCATCTCCAACTGGCTTACTTTCAGACTTCGGTGCAGTATGGATAGAAATTAAGATGGAAAATCTGCAGGAATTTGGATTAGGGATGGTATGAGGACAAGATGACGCAGGCAAATAAACTTTGCCCAAGACTAATTTGAGGGCTATTTCTATTCCAAGGCTCTAAAGGGAAACGGGTGACTCTTTCTGGTTTTTCTTCGTGTGACAACAGTCCCTGTGGCAACGGTGGCAGAGGGCTCAGGATGCGAGGCGGCGGGGGTGGCGCTGTGCTGGTGAGAGAGGGAGCGTGAGACCCATTTGTCTGCGGGCCTCCTTGGAAAGTAATCAGGTCTGCTTGCTACCTGTACACAACTGTGCGTGATCTCTCTGGAGGTGCAGATGTGTGTGTATGAGGCAAAGACAGACAGACAGATGGAGAGAAACAGAGAGGCCAAGAGAAACAGAGTATGCAGTCATTTGATGACAGTGTGAAATACAACCTTTTACCAAAAAACTCTATGCTGAACTTGGCCACGTACACACTCATCTTGCTACCTGTCTCCAACAACAACCTGAATCCCATGAATCTGCAGGTTACACTCAATGCTGAGAAGGTAAAGAAAGGCACCAACAGGCAGCAGAACCACCACGTAAACACAGGGCCCAGAGACAGCCTTTAAACCCATTTTCCAGCGCGTAAAATCTGACTTCCCCATGATGACATCTCTCAAACAACACACACATATATACCAAGAATCTTACCTTTCTACCTGAGGCCTGAAAAATCTTAATTAAGGTGCCTGATCTTCGGTCAGCCCGAAAAATATAAACCTATGAAATGAAAAAAGAAAATCTAGTTAAGATGGAAGCAATGAGCAAAGGTATTTATCAGCATCCTCCTGGGAGTCCTATTGAAATGCCTGACCCGGCGCAGGACAGATGTGCTCCCGCCGACTGATACTAATGCAATCCGCGTGGCTCTCATTTTATCAATTCTGCAAAGAAAGTGTCCTTCACCTCCTCTGCTCCTGGCCACATCATGGAGGAAGCCACGCATAGTAAGACCCTAGGAGCTTCCAAATCACCAGTAAACAATTCAACACTTAGAAGAAGTGTTTTCTTCCTTGAAATAGTTCTTTCATTCCTATGTGTGAGAGTTTGAGCAGGTATCCTACTAGTATATAATAAAAGGCAAATATGCAAATTGTCCCCTCAGGAGTTCAACAGACCGGGAGACCAGGAGTTCGACCAACCAGAAGTTCGACCGCTCGCTATGATGTGTGCACCACCAGGGGGCAGTGCGGAATGAAGGAAGGCCCCGGCCGGCAGCTGGGGGAAGGAAGGCCCCAATGGGCCCTGATCACTGGCCAGGCTTAGGGACCCTATCCGTGTACAAATTTCGTGCACCGGGCCTCTAGTGTCAAGATAAGAAAGTGGGAGGGAAGCATTTCAGACCAAGCAGTTTTCCAAAGTGACACCACAGACCTCAAGAGTCATGACATTTGCTTGCGTAAACAGGAATTTAGCTGGCAAACACCAGAGTTAAACATTAAATACATTTCTTTACCGGGGGGACTTCTCAGAGCCTTTAGGGTGCATGTATATACCATAAGTCTCCGCCACAAAGAAGATCATGGAGGTGGAACTTCCTAAATGACATGACTATGGAAGTTCTTTTTCAAGTTACATCGTATGGGAAGAGAATGTCTCACTAGAACCAGGGCAGGGGACCCTCGCACAGGGTGAAGGATCTCAGTGTGAATGTTGTCATGCCCAGATTAACAGAAATCAATAACCACCCAAATCCTGAAGGCCGGAGATTCTTTCGGGGGTGCCTGGGAATCAGGTCTGTACCAGCTCCCATCCCTGGGACTATGGAACAGTCATCAGTTTTATCAACAGTGACCCGTTTCCCCAGCGCCTCTCATGTGGCCCAACCGGAAGCAGCATTGGCTGAGGCGTGGGCATCGTTGGGAACTGAGAGGTGGAGGTTTTTATTGATGCCGCAGAGGTGCCGGCGCTCCGTGGCTCCTCCCCCGGAAGGCATTATCAATGTGGGAACAGCACGCGGCACTTCCTCGTCCTTCCAGGGTGGAGAGGAAGCATGTGACTCAGAGAGACCCATATCTTTCTTGAAGTCACCAGAGTTCATCCACATGCTTCCCCCTGCTCAGTGCCCTGGGGTTTTCCCCTGGTTTCATTTTCAAAGACCCTTTCTCCACAACATCAGCGTTGGGGGGAGGGAGGCACATGCTCCATAAACACCAGCAGTGACCCCTAATCCTGCCCAGGAGGGTGCAGCTGGTCATACTGCTGCCCTGGCTGAAGGCTCCAATTAACAGTGGTCTCGGCCCGTCACGGCCTCTCCAGAATCCAGACCCCATTACTCTGAGCCCCCGGAGATATGGTTAGACTACCTTAGGTCTATCCCATGGGCTCACACCATTCCTCTGTTCAGTCTTTCCCATCAGAGAACCTACAGAGTGTATTAAAAATGCAGATTCCTGACTCATGTGGACCTACCCAACCTACTCAATCTGGATTTCCTGTTCCCTGGAGCCAAAGACCCATCAAGCGTAGTTCTCTGCAGGGTCAGGTGCCAACCGAGATTCCCAAAGGGACTCAGACAGTCCTGAACCTATGGGGTCTATTCTACACTCTGGGTGTATACTTTAGGGAAAGTGGCCCACATATTCCCAGTCCAGCCTTTGGGCTGCACCAGTCTTGGTTCCAAAACATTGGGGGAAATAAATTTAAGAATCTAGGCCCCAAGATAAATTGACAAAGATATCTGGGACTAGACCTGGCTCCATGAGGTCAAAGTCAAACTTGGAAAGGGTTTGAGAAAGTGGAGGATTTGAAGTTAGCGGCCAAGGTCAGTCTTAACAATCTCACTTGCACACGCGTGTGCACACACAGAGTCGGCTGTGAAAAACATTCTCAGATGTGAACGTGCAGGAGATGGAGAGTACTATCCACACTCTGATGAAGCTTCCAGGTCAACTCCCAAAAGTGGCTGGAAGGAGACAGCAGAGGTGCCTCAATACTTCATCACTTACCTGCCGGCCACCCAACAGAATCTTCAAATCCAAGTGAGGTGACAAACCCCTATAACAGCCACAGTGTGCCCCACCTCCCTTCTGTCTGACCCCCTGCTATTCCAAAGGCTCTTCTCCTCACCTTCCCAATGCCTTCATCCTGGGGGGCGCCTCCTACCACATCGGTGGTGGACGGATGAGAGAAGTGGCCGGCGGTAACCGCATAGCCTGTAAGGAATGGGCAGACGCCAAGGGCAGGGTTGAGAAACAATGACAGGGAAGAGAAAGATCCATCAGAGGAAAACGTTTCTCAAGTAACCCTCATCTAGGCAGTTATTATCCAGCCAGTCTTGGACCCAATGGCAGCTGTTGGTCTTCTCATGCTGGAATAACTCGTCTCACACAAAGACATGTTTGCCAGGACATTAGGGCAAGAAAGAGCGGTCTCTGACTGTCTGCTTGGGACAGGTACTGGGCTACATACTCCATGTCTGTTTTCTTTTTCTTATTGATGTATTTTTGAATGTTCATACAGTACACACATCTGAAGTGTAGAACTTAATGAATGTGTATACATGGATATAACCATGTAGTCGCCACCCAGAGTGGATGTAACCATGGAAACACAACCGAGGAGGGTCCCTCATGCCCTTTCCCAGTCAATGCCCCCGCACAAGTAGCCACGCTTCAGAATTCTATCACTACACATTATGTCTTCCTGGTCTAGAACTTCACTCACTCAACATAACTGTCACATCCATCCATGTTGAGTGTGGTCGTTTCTTTTTATTGTTGATTAATGTTTCATTGCATGAATATATCACAGTATCTTTTTTCCCCCTCCTATTGCTAGGCATTTGGTTTGCCTCCACTTTGGGGCCATTATGAACAGCTTGTATGTGTACTTTGGATGTCATCATGGCCTTTAACCTCCCAACTCTAGGGGGAAGATATGATTATTTCTTCCATGTTAGAGACGTGGAAAGCAGGACTAAAATGTGATTAAGCAAGATTCCCAAGACCAATCTGTGTGCCTCCCATGCTCCTGCTGTTGACCATTAGGCCACACTCCCTCCTAAGAGAAGGCAGAAAGACACTAACAGAGATGGATGAATGGATGGATGGATGAAGGGATGGATGGATGGATGGACGGGTGGATGGGCAGGCAACGAATCTGGATACAAAAGGAATCTAGAAAGAAAGGAAAAAGTTGTGTGCGCTTAGTCTAAATGTTTCCTGCACCTTCTGGAAGCCCTGCTGACAGGCTGAAACCTGTGTCCTCCGGCCCCCAGAAACCCTGAGCCATAGAGTCCCCAAACCATGTCATCAACCTCAAACCTAAGCTGTGCCCATAAGCTCTTTGGGCTTTGTGATGAGACCACATTAGGGTCAATTCTTATTCACCATGTGGCTGCTCTCTCTCAGACTGGAGGCTCATGTTACCCAAGAGTATTCTGAGTGGCAGACAGCAAAGCCTCCGGGAAGCCTTGGGAAGCCGGCAGCAGATGGGGCCTCTGTTCCGTATGCAGGGAGAAGCCACCAGCCCCAAGTCTGGACCCTACAGCCACCGCCAAACCAGCCTCTCTCCAGCCTTCTTTTCACTTTCTGGCCTAGTACACATGGGTCGAGTCCCTATGAAGCACTAGGTACAGTGCTGAGTCCTGGAAATGTGAGACAAACGCCCCACCGCCAAGGTGCTCCCAGCCCGGCGAGGGTTGGCAGTGTCTCCGTGGCACCCACAGGGGAGGCGGCTCAGGGTCCAGACCTTGAGCTCGGGAACCACAGGTTTAAACACCCACTTTGCCATTGAAGAGCCATGTGACCTTGGCTATTCCATAACTTCTCCGTACCTGTTTCTTTCGCTATAAAATGTGGATGGAAAATAACGGCTACCTTACAAGGCTGTTTCGGGAATGAAAAGCCGTAACAGGCAGAGCCGGGCGTACAGTAAGTGCTCAATAAATGACAGGATTGAGGAGCTGGGAGCACAGGGCAGCGAACACCCCAAGGACTCGGAATAAAGGTTTTATGGTTTATTCACTGGGGAAAACCTTGCAGTTAGAAGGGGAAAGGCAAGTGGACAACCCTCTACTGCCTTCTCACAAGTGAATCTCTGTGAAAAGGGGGCAGGACTCCCCCAGATCTAACTTATGGGTAATGTATGCAAAAGAGCATTGCTTTCTCAGCATTGGGCCTAAAGTTAGCTTCCTTTTCAGTCCAGAATGACAGCATTTAGGGCCTGAATTAAAGAAAAGCCATGTAGAATGTCCATGTACACAAGCAAAGACAGTCTACCCTGTTCTTAAAGAGGCATGATCACGCCGGGCCTCGTTCTTGCCTGGTGGCTGGCTGCTCGCTTAAGCTGTGTCTATCTTCTTTCTAGAAGATTAAAAAGGTTGAGAAAATAGGAGAAATCTTTCCGAGCCTTTGATCAAACCCCAGCATTAGGCTGCCATCCATCGTGATAATTTCTGGGTCTGATTATCTCTGTTGGCAACCATCTTTGTGACCCGGAAGCAGAGACCTCGCCCAAAGGAACGGCATGGAAAACCAGGGTTCTATTGCACCCATTTTGTATCTGATCATTTGAACGTGAGTAACTGCTAGAATAAGAAAATAAAACGTTTGCTTCCCCGGAGGCTCAACTGTCAGCTTTTTAATCAAATCACAGTTTGAATTCAGTTCCCGGCTTTGTTTCTCCTCCGTATGTGGGGCTGGATGGTAAGGGGCTGTAGCTAAAACTATAACTGATCAGTATGGGTGTCAACGCCGGCAAATCCTTTTCGCCCCCAGTAAAGTAATAATTCGTGAACGTCGTGGCAATCGCTCCTGTGTCCCTTGTCACCTGTCACCGCCCTGAGCTACTCACCCAGGTAAGTGTAGCGCCTGTTCATGATCGCTTCGTCGTTCAGCTTGAAGTAGGTGTTGTCCGTCAGGTTCAGCACCTTGACCGTCCCAGCCCAATAAAACGACCCCGGGGCGCCCATCACCACCAGCTCCTGCCGGAGAGAAACCCAAAGGTGATCAGAAAGAAGCTGAAGGGGGAAGTAGGCAGTGAGATGAGAACCACAATCACCACAAGGAACTCATAAGTCAATTCTTCAGGGACTCTCTTCAGCTGAGCAATACGAAAACGATGTCGCCCGATTCCCTGGCATTACAGAGTCTATATACGGACAGGGCTACCGGGAATAGAGACCAAGATAACTGAGCACATGGACAAGACGAGTAACAACCTGGGTCTCTGTCCTACCCACAGAGGAAGCCTCACATCTTGTCCTCACTTTCCCACCAGGATCAAACAAGGAAATGGCAAAGATCGGACACTGCCTGAATTCTAGGGAGCGATGCTCGGGAAAAGATGCCACCCCCTTCTCCAGCCAGGCCTCCAGCTCCGCTATCCAGCCACCGCACCTGCCCGCTACCGAGCAGGAGAAAAACAGGGACCAACATCAGCTTTGCAAAAAAAATAGGCAGGAAATCCCTTTCAGTCCTCACTCAGGCCTCTCGTCTCAGAAACGGCTCTGAAGCTGGGTGTTCTGGCCACTGTGGCCCCTGCAAGCTCAGAAGGATGACATCAAGAGAGCAGCAAGCCCCCCTAAGGGAAGGACACAGACTGGAAAGAGAAGAGACCACAGACAGCTAGAGACAGCATTACTATTTGCTTTTTGTTTGTTTGGTTGGTTGCTTGCTTAATCCTCACCCGAGGATATTTTTTCCATTGATTTTTAGAGAGAGTGAAAGGAAGAAGAAGAGGCACACAGAGAGAAACATCGATGTGAGAGAGACACATTGCCTGCTTGCCTCCCGCTCGTGCCCCAATCAGGGCATGGAATCGAGCCTACAACCGAGGTACTTGCCCTTGGCCAGGAATCGAACTCACGACCTTCCAGTCTGAGGGCCGGTGCTCTAACCACTGCTCAGGGCAGCACTACTATTGTAAACTGACCTTGAAACACTAAGACACATCTGTCTCCAGCATTTCGATTAGCAGCAATGGGCCAACAAGCCTGAGCACCCGTCTATGCTACAAAACCATCCAGGGACCAACGCTGGGGATAATTCTATGCTCAGAGGTGACTCGGTGACCCACGGAGGGCAGCACGGAAATCCGCATGATCTTACCCACAAGAAGATGCGTAACTGTGCTAACGGAAGTTGGAAAACTGCGCTAACCGAGACAGCTCATATCGGGATTCTAAGTCACGGTACGTCCATTCGACAGATTCTGTGGCAATAAAAATACTGCAGACGATCTAATGGCACAGAGTCACACAGTGCTCTGAGCGTGAAAGGGTACACCAAACAACACCCATGCCGCGAGCAGGCTTATAAAAGAAGAGTGTATACAGACAGACAGACCGAGACCAGAAGGACAAGCTCCAAACCACGTGTGGTTTTTCCACCGGGTGACAGACAGGATTTCAGGAAGCCTTTTTTGATTTTTTTCTCTCTCTTTTATCCCAAAGGTTTATTTTCTCTGTGTTTTCTCAAATTTCTAGAATAATGATTAAACACTGACAATGAAGTCATCTCAGAAAATGCAAAATGGGCCCTGACCGGTTTGGCTCAGTGGATAGAGCGTCGGCCTGCGGACTCAAGGGTCCCAGGTTCGATTCCGGTCAGGGGCATGAACCTTGGTTGCAAGCACATCCCCAGTGGGGCGTGTGCAGGGGGCGGCTGATCCATGTTTCTCTCTCATCGATGTTTCTAACTTTCTATCCCTCTCCCTTCCTCTCTGTAAAAAATCAATAAAATATCTATTTTTAAAAAAATGCAAAATGGGCCCTGGCCAGTATTGCTTAGTGGTTAGAGTGTCAGCCCGTGCATGGAAGGGTCTCGGGTTCGATTCCCAGTCAAGGGCATGCGTGGGGGGGGGGGGGGGGGGGGGGGGGGGGGGGGGAGGCAACCAATCTATGTGTCTGTCTGTCTGTCTCTCTTCCCCTCCCCCCATTCTCTCTAAAAATCAATGGAAAAAATATCCTCGGGGGAGGATTAGCAAACAAACAAAAAACGAAAATGCAAAATGTGTTCCTGGGAGGACACTGCACAGGCATTGAAAGGGAGCCCAGGCCGCGAGGAGGCTGATAGGCCGAGGGAAGCGAGGCGCCCACTGCATCGTGCATCCAGTGGTGCCCGGCCGAGCCCTTCACTCCTTCCTTCCCTGGGGGGAGGGAGGAGAGGAGCAGTGCCTCTCCCTGGAAGTCCCTCATCTCTGGCATTTTCCATTCAGCGCGGTGATGCCTGTATCTGCTGGCACTGCCCGCAAGTTACTGATGCTTTAGTCCCCCACCCCCCAGGACCAGCCAAGGCAAACGTCACCCACAGACATGCCCGTTTCCCCAGGAGCTGCGTGTGGAGCCCCATCAATGAACAGAGTGGGCCTTGATCGCAGAACCTCGGGGCGCAGGGGTGTCTGGGGGTGCTGAGAGAGGCCGGGGTTTCCTCTGCACACGGCACGGTGGCGGGAGCTAGACGGCAGAGGAATGCTCGGGTTCGCCCATGGAAGTCTGTGCCGAACAGCCTTGCCCCCAGGTGTCTCCCCACTTCCACTGTGGGCTCCGGCGCTGGCGGGGCCGGTCCGCGTCTTTTCTTGCTGCTCAGAGGTATCCGTCACCTCTGCTCCCCTAAGCTACAAAAATCAATGAAGTTCCCAGGAAACCCCCGCTTATCCTCAATGGCCGGCGAAAACTCCCGTGGTACCCGTAACTCACACAGCTTTGATAACCCCAGGGTCACCGACCCCCAGGTCAGGCAGGCACTTTGGGGGAGAGTGCGTCAGGGCCACATGGCCATACCCGGAGGCCACAGAAGCACGTCCAGCTTGGGACCAGCTGCCGGCCCCGTGCAGGGGCCTCCCAGCTCACGGCAAAGGCAGGCCCAAGCGACGAGGTCAGCAGGAGGGCAGAGGAAGGGAGCAGCGCCGTGTGACCCCTTCCACCACATTTCCTGCTCAGCCTGCAACAGCTGAGGTTCCAGAAATGAGGGAGGCAGGGAGTTCAAAGACCTCCAGTTCAGAGAGGCCAAAAGCCTGGGAACTGAAGCACAGGCCAAAGCCCCGAGTGGCCAGGAGACAGCATGACAGGGTCAGAGGGCTGAGCCTCGGGTCGCTGCCACTCCCCCTCTACCTCCCCCCTCCCCACCCCCATGCACCAAGGCCCCACTTCTGGGGGCTCCCAGTGCAGCCGGCACATGCTGAGGCACCGTGGTTCCAGAGCCTGGAGTTTTCACAGGTCCCTGTTCCCCTGCCCGCCTTGAGCTCACCCCACCACCTGGGTTTCCCCTCCACACCCTGTCCCGCCCTGCCTGCTCCTCCTACAGTGGCCCCCTCCCGCCCAGCCCCAATGCCCTCTTGTTCTCCCCCGACTTCCTGGCTGATGAGACCACCATGATGCCCCCTCACCGGGGACTCTCTCTCCCCCTTAGCTCTTCATCAACATCTCCGATGAGTTCTCAGGTCTGCGATGAGGCTACTTTCTCCCCGCCCCCCATCGAAAGGAGGCATTCTCCCCGCACCCTCGGCCTCCACGCTAAGCACACGCAGTCCCTCAGACAGTAACTAGCACTGGCCAGATCCAAGTTTCTAACTCAGGCGGGGATCGGCCCCCTCTAACCAAACACCTTCTGAAAACATCTATATGCGTGTGCCTCATCCTCTCACTCAGCCCGTGTGTGAAGCAGACCCCTCAGGGTACCCATCCCACTGAGTCCTCCTTGGGGGGCCCTTCCCCCGCACACCAGGCTCCAGAGCCCTGGCTGGAAAGCTTCCTCTCCCCACACCCTCTGCCCACCCAGCCCACTGGTACCGCCTTCATACTCTCCAACTCCCCGCAGCCTTCTCATCCCTAAAGGTCTCCCTAGCCTGCACCGTTGCTTTGGGGCCGGACCCCATCACAGCCCCCTACCTGGCCTCCCTCTAGGCCAGGGGTCCTCAAACTTTTTAAACAGAGGGCCAGTTCACTGTCCCTCAGACCGTTGGAGGGCTGGACTATAGTTTAAAAAAAAACTATGAACAAATTCCTATGCACACTGCACATATCTTATTTTGAAGTAAAAAAACAAAATGGGAACAAATACAATGTTTGTATTTGCATGTGGCCCGCGGGCTGTAGTTTGAGGACCCCTGCTCTAGGCCCTCCCACTTCCAAATTCCTGGGCACACCCAGCCCACGTAGCCACTCTCACAACATGGCCATCCACGCGTCGTCACCTGCTCCTGAACGGACAGTGGGTCCCTGTCACCTACGGGGACACTAGACCTCCCTGGAGGAGGGATGGACATAGAAGTTGCACAATCTGAGCGCTTCCTGGGACGGAAGAGAGTAACCTTGGCACATGGCAGGATGGTATTGCAAACCAAAGGGGACAGGAAACAGTTCAGCACACAGCATCAGAACAATCCACTACACACTTAGGAAACCCGCGGAGTTCATTTCTACCACGTAACGTCTGCAAAAAGAAATCCAGGTGCATTAATATATGCGTTCTTTCTGTCTATCAAAGTGCTAGAACAGTGGTTCTCAACCTTCCTAATGCCGCAACCCTTTAATACAGTTCCTCATGTTGTGGTGACCCCCAACCATAAAATTATTTTCATTGCTACTTCATAACTGTAATTTTGCTACTGTTATGAATCGTCATGTAAATATCTGATATGCAGGATGTATTTTCATTGTTACAAATTGAACATAATTAAAGCATAGTGATTAATCACAAAAACAATATGTAATTATATATGTGTTTTCCGATGGTCTTAGGCGACCCCTGTGACAGGATCGTTCGACCCCCAAAGGGGTCGCAACCCACAGGTTGAGAACAGCTGTGCTAGAAGAAAGCCCAGGTGGCATGTTGTCTTCCTAGGACGGGATGACACCCACCTCGGTGAAGAAGCCTGCTATCCCAGCCTGGCAGGAGCCGTGTTCTTCTCCGTACTTCTTCTTATACTCTGGAGGGGGCGGGAGGAGAAAGAGCAAACCACAGCCTGGTCAGTGTGTGCCAGTCGTGTGCGGGGTGGCCAAGCGGGCCCCTTCCCCAGGTGCTGCTGCGGGCTGGGCGCCGGGACGCCGTCCAGCCTGAGGCACGGCAGGGAAGTCTCAGGAATCTGCCCGACCGCGAAAATCCAGACTCTGGTGCCATCAGGTAGCGAGGCTGCCAAGTGCCCCAGAGGGCGTCCTCGTGCATGTGGGGAGAGAGGAGCAGCAGCCATGGTGATGGAGTGGGAGGCGGGTGACAACGATCTCATTAGTTAGGAAGGAAGGACCGAGAGCCCCAGCAGGAAGGAGGAGCTGAAAACATGGCCCAGACGTGGACTGATGTCGCCCTCCCAGCGTGCAGACGACCAAGCCTCAGAAAAGACACTCCATACAGCTGGAGGCAATATGGTTCCCTCCATGCAACCCAAACTGGCCATGAGAGCCCATCTGCAGAAGGAGGGGACCCCCATACCTGCTCCGGGACCTATTCCACCATCACTGGTGGCGTGCGGTGACACTATACACTGCCACCCCGTTTTCCTCCTTCCACACAAGGAA